ACATGAGCAGTGGTGACGAGCAGAGCTAGAGCAGCGACACAGATGAAATCTAGCAAGGATGTCCGCAGCTAAGTGCCATATATCTCATCGTTGGGTATATATGGCTCGATTATATAGGTTTTTTCTTATGTGATTAGAAATTTGAACAAAAATTTCACACTTCCACGGAAGGGATGCACTGTATCAAATTCGTTCAAAAAAAAGTGTGGCGCTCAGACGACCTATAGTGAAAAACGAAAATGCAAAAATGTGCAAAGTGCAAAAATGAGAAGAAAAAAACAGAATAAACAGGACAGAGCACTCTGTCCCATTTCTCCTGTTTGTTCCTAGTCGTTTTCTCGCTGCCTTTTACTATGAATGTGCACCAAGAAGCTCATTAACATCCAACCTTAATTGGGATCCACATATAACTGCTATTTGTTCGAAAGCGCAAGGTAAATTGGGCTTCCTAAAAAGAAAACTCCGTAACTCTCCCCCCTGCAGCAAAGCTAACCGCCTATAAGACCCTGATTAGACCAGCACTAGAATACGCCGATATAATTTGGAGTCCACATCATAAATTTCTCATTAGTAAAATTGAGCGAGTGCAAAACTTAGCAGTTCGATTTGTGTTTTCCGATTACTCCAGGTATACCAGTGTTACTAATCTGCATAAAAGAGCCGAACTTCATTGCCTTTCCGAACGGAGAATACATTCTAAACTTAAATTCCTGTATCTTCTTTATCATGGGAAATATACAATATCCAGATCAGACTATCTTCTTGAACCTTTCAGGCATTCCACGAGAACTAACCACAATAAGACAATACGACTGCCCACAAGTCACAACAACATTCACAAAAACTCTGTTTTTCCGTCATCAATTGCATATTGGAATCAACTCCCATTAATAGCTGTGAACTGTGACACCGTAGAATCCTTTATTGAAAAGATTAAAACTATAAATTTTGAACAATAGACGCAAATGTACGAATAGGGATTTATTGTGAGCAGTTTCTTTCCCTTTGACTGGTTTGTCCTTTTAGCATGATTCTCAACGTTGCATTATGACACTGTTGTTTTGGCTACTTGGAATTCAATAGTTTTTTTTTTCTTCTTGGATTGTGCCGGTGCCTTTCTGTACGTGGCATCATTGTTTGTATATACTATGTACCACTCCTGCTTGGACCGAGAAGGTCTGCAGTATACTTAAATAAAAAAAATAAATAAAAAAAAGTTCAACCGCTTCTCCCTTACAGGAGTGCATATGGTACATTAAAAAAAGAAAAAAAAATGACTTCACCTATGAGTGCTACAGGGCACAGCTAAATTTTTGCCAGCCTTAAATTCTACTGTGCTCAAGCTCATGAACTGTTCAGTTTAAGAGAGCCACTGACCTCTTTCTCCCACAAGCTAGTAACTCGTACTTGTAAAAGATACCTGAAAGCTTTGAAGGGTATATTGAAAGTGCGTTGGAGCTAGATACGACATTGCATATTTTTTAAGGCCCTCAACTAAATAAGGTAAAACAAGACAATGCAATCCAATACGGCATATAAAAATCCCACTTGAGATATCTTCTGTAGAATCTACATCCATATTGTTTTCAGTCCCCAACCAAGCTCAGTGCACACTGCCAGAAAGCAGACAGTCAAGTCCAGTCAAGTGTACCAAGTTCTTCCAGAGTAGAAACTAGATATAGGGCTGACTATCTAACTACTATCATGAGACCTTTTTGTGTTTACTATTCATTATGCATCAGATGAACGAGGTGCTGCACGACTGACATATTCTACACACACCAGCACAGTGCACTGAATAATGGGCAGAAACTAATTTTTACAGTGCCACATACGTGAGCGGAAGCAATTTAATGTTTTACAAATGACAATAAGAGATTTTTTATGTGCACGTGGGCTATTATATCATTACAGAGCCCACACTTTATTATTTACCAAACCAAAATAAGAAGTTTATTTGTCCTACGCTACTTCTCGGTTATTTAGTGCATTGTTTGAGGAGCCCAAATGATTTTGCTGTTATACACTACACAGTGAGGTTTGTCTATTTTTTTTTTGTGTTGAATGCAAGTGTCTTGCCTAATTATTACTTAATTATTCCTAAGACTGAATAAAAAATGTAAAGGATTCCTTTCAATTATTCCAGATTATTCGTCCACCGAACAAAAATAAACAGTGGCAGAGTCTATCCTAAAAAGTATCCTAAATGTTCTTTGGAAAATTACAAGAAAGACAACATCACATATCTCACGCTTTTGAAGGGGCCCGGCAATACTTTTTGAACATGTTCAGAAAATGCTGCCAATCAGCAGTCAAGGCTCCTGCGAACATGTGAGCCAAACATAGCCCAGCATGCGGCTGGGAATCTACAAATAAATTCAAAGATTGCTAGAAATCGCTCTTCTCTTAACAAATCCTGCTATATACCCAAACCAATTGTGTAACGTACCTGAAAGACCATTGGCAGATTTTAACATAGTGCAATGCATATTTATCCTGGCGACCGCCACGCAGGCATTGTAGCGACAAACACCTTCAGAAGAGGAATGAAAGGCTTTAATGCCAACTCATTCTTGACCTGCTCATCAACCAGGCAAAGAAAAAGAGAACCGTGTCTCGAGCAGAACCGCGTGTGAATGCCGCAACTTCTTCTTCGTCTGAAGTTGCAACAGGCATGCAAGCCACACAGGCGTTCAAACGAAACAAAAAAGTGCTCAAGACTGCGATGCGCACTGACTTACGGAAGTAACCTGATGATGATTGGTCCGGTTCGCGGCACAAGGGCCATAGGTGGCCAAAGAGTGCCAGTATGAATGTAGCTGTTGCTTGTCCCCCCCACCCCACCCCAACTACATTTCAGTGCACTCATTGAGATTTTTAAAAGAAGGGAGAAAATGCTTAGAGCATTAAACAAATCTCTGTAACTCCACTTAGATTCTAAAAATTTTTGTGGCAGTTAATCTGTGCGGTGATAAACAGTGGGATAATTTTATGAACACCTGGCAAAGTGTTGCAGGGCTCCATTAAATATATAAAGAGAACAAAATGTTTCTATATAAACAAGTAAATAACATTTTCCTTAGTCATTGGAAACCACAGCCACTTCTTAGAGAACATAAACCAGCATTAAAAGATAAAAAAATCTAACGATGAAGACCAAACCTTTAAAAACATAAAACATTGTTAAGACCTTTGGTAAAAAGCTAAAGCTATTAGTTTTAGAACAGTGATCAGCCCGGTCCTGAATTTTCAGCTTCAGCAGCCACACTTGACACTTTTCGTTCGGCAACAAGTCTTGTACCGGTGAATCTGTGCATCGAAAGGAGTCGAACACAGAAAAGCACCCACCCCATAAGTAAACAAAACTGAATGCAATGCGAAACAAACAAAACATTCTAAAAACCCACAATAAAATTTTACGTACTTTAAATTGTTTAAGTGCATTAGCAAAAATGACAATCAAGTGGACAAATGCAAGTGCTTGTGAACAAACATACAGGTGTCTACTTACTTGTGCTCAATGTAAATGCTTATACAGTAACAAATATATCTTATCAAGAGGGCTGAATGTCGAAATTTTCACTCAACAGTGAAAATACAAGCTGTCACTAAGCAAGTTATTCTATGAATATTCAAAAGGGGCACATTTAACAGACCCTTGGTGATTCATACAAATCATGCAGGCATCTTGCAAGCAAAGATACGAGATTCATTGTCAATGTCACTTAAATCACAAATTCATGGCATGGCCTCTGGCCCTATGGTATTTCAAAATAAAATAAAATAAAAAATAGTAAAGGACAACTGAAATTTTCCGCACCTTGCAATGCCTGTTCTGATAAATGTGCCTGGATGACTGCAAGCATACAGGCAACATTTTGTTTGCGTACATTATCGACATGGTAGCTGGCACTCCTTTATCTTCAAAACAAATAGGCCACTCAATTGTAAAACCTGTTTTTTGTTTGTTTCACAAGATTTAAGGGATCCCGACACCATAAGTGAAACCTAAAGGTGTTTTTGTTGCTTTAATGGCCTGTAGACATGGACACTTCTGCGATTATTAGTGGCAAACACTGCCTTTCATAATTTTTAATTTGGTTTTAATGGAAGTGCGAGTGTTTGCCAGCACCTTGAAACATCTCCACTGGTATGATAGAGGGTCCTGTGTGACATTCACCTAGAGAGGCGAGTGTTGTTGATATCACAGATAAGGTTACGGAGCAGGAGGACTAGGAGACTATTGTTCGTCATCCACCTCATTCTGATGTCTAGCTGCTCTGAAGGTAGTTCTAGCTGCTTACACCAGGGATGTCTTATCATTAGGAGGAGGCATGCTCTTGGCAGCCAAGTGAACGCTTGTAGGGACACTAAAGGCAAACAGCAATTTACGTCAGAGTGGAAGATCATTATTTGGGAATGCCTAAAACGTCCATATAATCAACAGCACAGCTCCAATAATCGAAAAATTAAAGCAAATGTATGACACCACATTCACCACGAGTGGGACATTTTTGAAATGATCCAAATGACGCTTATGCACGGTAGTTTTTTCGCAAACGTTCAACTATTCTTGGCCTACAGTATTTGCTGTGCTCGTTTCTGATACCACCACAATGCCATCACATTTTCTTGAACACTACAAAACTTTCTTTTTACAAATACTACATGTATATTAATTAACAAACAAAATTTACTGGCTCAAGAAAAGCTGCCTAACAAATAACACAGACTATAATAACACATTTAAGCACTAAAGGGACCTGTACATGAGCATGTGATAGTGAAGAACACTCATGGTGAAAGCAGAACAGATCACGAGTAAAAACACTGATGCCACTAATAGAAATCTAGCATTATAATACATAACGTAAGTTATTCCACAAAATATGCCGCCACTATTACCTGCTTATGGACTAGAGTAATCCTCCCAGAGCATAGTTTACACGTAGTGCTTTGAGAAGCATAAATAAAGCGCTAGAGAAATCACAGCAAAAGAAACATATTACAAACTTTTATTAGGGTCACTCAGAGTGAGTGTTATGACCTAAATTAAAAGTATCTACATGGTAAAACAAAATGCGTTTTCATTCTACACAGGCATTCTTCAGGCAACACTCGAGTCTTCCACCTCTGATACATCAGACAGCGGTGGTGTGGATGAAACTGGAGAACTTGAGAAAAAGTCGGAGACTGAGGCCTGATGCATCATCCATTGCCGGAATCCATAAGAGTCAAAAGGTGTGATGTGCTAAGATAGGAAGAGAATGAATTATTAAACTGAAACCACCAGACACAGCTCCATTAAGACAGCAGACCAGGGAGTAAGTGTCGTGCCACTCTAGTTCAAGCCATGCAAGTTCGACCACCAAAGATAAGCTTGACGCCAATGAAGCACCAGATAAAACCTGGATGGGACATGGAAATGGTGCAAAGCATGCTTGTTCCCAGCAAATAATAGGTATGATCATTTCACTGTAACCTCAAAAAGGAAAAAAAAGGAAGTCAATACATGATTCGTAAAAGTAAAAGTAGGTAGTGGGCAGGCAAAAACAAGCACATTTAGGAGATATAGAGTATAAATCACATAAAAAATATTTTTTTACGAAACAATGCAAGCATTTTTTAAATTTACAATGAGACTTCACATACCGCCTGGACTATTGCTGGGCCTTTTTCATCAACTTCTTTGAAAGTTTTGTCTCTTTAACACACATATCTCTAATCATGAAGCTTTCACTTCTATACGAGATCCATGGTATCGGCTATCAGAAAGTCAAAATGTGTGAAGCAATGCAGATCCTACATTAACTAATCTGCATGATGCAGGCAGCTATCACTAGCAGCTGATTGAGAACTTGAGATGCACTTCAAACAAGAAGCCGGAAGTCCACAATGAGCAGTCGACCAACCAACTGCTATCGGTTTTCATGTGCCCCGTTTTTCAAATATGACATCAGCCTAATAAACATTTAAAATTTTTTCTAAGATCCCTTCTGCCATCTTCCACCAGTAACATTATAAGTAACGTTATGGTGGTGCTCCCATGGTGATTTAAAAAGGCAACAATCTTCATATTGCAAATGCAGCCAATATTTCAAGCCCTACTGAGCATAGCTCGCAGTAAGCTGTGACCCAGCTCAGACCCACCCACTTTAAATTATTTCTGAAAGACCTACATGTTATAAATTTTATGTCCACGAAAACCAGAATCCTGGATAAATGTATGCTCTGGTAATCTACATAAGGTAATCTACATAAGCTTTGATTGTGAAACTGACGATGACAAAGGAGAGGAAACAAGCCAAGCTATGCAACATTTATGTCTTCTCCTTATGGCTGAAAATTTTATGCTGAAATCTAGCAATTTATTGTTAAGCACAAACTGGCCCAGCAACATTTTGCTAATGTCTGGTTGAGTGTGCTTAGGTACTTTTGAAAATTAACTCATGTGATAAAGAACTAACATTAGGGTTTCTAGGTATTTATACTCTTTAAATGCTACTTTTAAAACATTGTACTCTTAAAATGCTACTTTTAGAACATTAATAAAATAGCAACTTTTCCAGATGCAATTGCTAGAGCATATTTTTATATGCTCAATGGCAATATGTGCCACCTGTTACAATGGCACAGGCTTTCCAATGGGACAGGGGCACAAGTAAGCATGGTGTCCTGACTGAAGCTCCCATGTTTAAATGCGCATATACTATACCCTATAAAGTGGACGGAGAGATGACCACCACAGTTGCTCAGTGGTAGAGCATCGGATACGTTATTCGAAGGTCGCAGGTTCGACCTAGTCTACGGGAAGTTATCTTTTTTTCCACTTTTTCTTTCTTCACATTTACATCAAAATAGCCTTCAATAACATTCTCTATATACTTCCCTTGGCATCATAGTCTGTTATTTCTCATTTACGTTGTGTCTAACAAGGAAAATGAGCCCTTACATTTTCACTTCTCTCCTTCAAAACAGGAAAAGAAATTGCTACTTTTATATACAGAGGCAGCGCTAGCTGCCAATATTTTTCCTCCTTTTTTTTTTCTCGTGAAACAAGAAAGACATCATTGTTCATGAAATATGTGCATTTATACATACCTGCTTTACCATCACATTCTCCACTTCGGGGTCCAATGAAGGGAAATCGGGAGGCATCTGCGTGGCCAATGGCGAGAGTGACATCTGAAGAAGAGCATCTCGCGAATAGCATTTGCGCACAGCCGCTGGTTCAATGGGTGCATCAGAAGCAGATGAAGGCACTTGAGGATGGTCAGCCTGAACAAAAAATCAGCCAGTTGAAAAAATAAGACTTTACCATTAGCATAACTGTCAAATATGCCAAACTACTTACCTTGGCAGAAAACTCTGGTGAGCTCCCAGATCGCTTGAGCTGTTTGGTCGGCTGACCAGGCACCTCAACAATACTTGACGTCTTTGTGGCTAGAAACCATGCACATACAAAAATTAGGACACAATGTATAAATTGTGCCATATCTTTACCATGAATTGCGTAAGACCACATGCGTATGCAAATAGAAATGACAGAGTTCTTTACAAGCTTTAAGCAGAAATTCCACACTTATTTTGAACATATTCTTCTTTTACAGATATGTTCTATGTTTGATACTGATATTTTTGCTATTGACACTGCATTTACAAGTACAAGAACTATTGAATGCACACCAACTTTTAAGCAATCCACAAAATGTCACCAGTGTCTCCTACAGCACTACCTCTTGTGATCGCTGAACTACACAGTGCCCAAGTGCCATGTTTGTGGTGCATTAATTGCCATGGTGTTCATGCATGCTTCCTTCATGCTGCTGTTTTGTCACTTGGTTTTTGTGACCATCTTTCTGTGATAAAGTAGCCCACTAAATTTTCAAGACTTTTCCCATGATGCACCTAACATAATGCTCATACACAAGAGTACTGCTTTTGTTAAGGCCTACAAAATGATGCATCTGTAGGTGCCATGCTTGAAGCCTTTATCCTCATCATCGTCATGATCAGCACCTAATCTGGGATGGTTGCTTTGCCAACAAAACCCACCAGGAGTCTTACAGACAGCAGCATGAGGGCGAGTGCCAACCTGTCTCTAGATTAGTGCTACAAGTAGCATATGACAATTTAGACAACACAATACTCTTCAACAAACAGTGCACTCTCATCAAACGAAACCTAAAGGGACCAGCAATAGATAATATCTCGGGTTTTACATCCCTAAATCGTGATATGTCAATGAGGGATGCTGTAGTGGAGGGCTCTAGAAACTTTGACCATTTAGTGTTCTTAAATGTACATGAGCCTCTACCATTTCACCTTGACTGAAATGTGACCACTGTGGCCAGAATTGCCTCGAGGGACCAGGAAAATGTGTTTCATTTTAACACGAGTTCTGTTTACTGAGCTATTATGAACAGGGGTGCACAATCCAAGTATGAAACCAATTAGTATGTTAGAGGAAGTTGTTTCATTTAAGAGATTCCCATTTAATGATAGTTTACTGCATGAATGAAATTCTCTTATAATGAAGCATTTCCTTTTTTAAAACTTCATGTCCATAGAAAACATTGCTGTCATCTTGCAAGTTTCTAGAGAACTGATTTGCTATAACACAATAAATAGATCCAGTACCCACAGATTCAAACGAGACTATTGAGGGCTAAGTAATGCACATATGTTCGTTCCATCCATCTTCAGTTTGGGTCATATTGGCGTAAGTTCAACTCCAACACGTAGATCAGAGCAGACCAGACTTATTGTGACATGATGTGGTTACCTCAAGAAATTGTGCATGCCAGTCGTCACACTATAATATCTAATGTCCCGTCAGAATCCGGGAGTACTACACCTGCACACATTATTCATGTGAATAACAATGCAACAGCTGAAAACTACCCCCTCCAATAGAACGAATTGTCCGGAATGTCTTGAGAGAAAGAATATTTGGTCTGCTTAAGTATGCCAATTAAATTTCAGTGTTGAACCAAATGAACAACCAAATAAATATCAGACAGCAGAAATTTTCGCTAAGAACTTTATAGAATTATTTTAACATGAGAAAATGGGCATATCTGAGATGCTTTATGACTTTTATGGCACCTGCATATGCTAGGAATAGAGTGAAAATAGTATTCCACATAACCAAAAAATTGTAAAGTTCATAAGAAAGTCTGAAAACTGCATTTGAGTCATGTTTTCAGCTGCTGATTTGGCATTAGGCAGTCCATCTAAAAATATAAAAAGTTGTATATTTCATGGGGGGAACCTAATAATTTGTTTTAGATATTTTCTCTTTTATTTTAGTAATCTAACTTTTCAACAAGACAAATGTATATGTGCAGAGTGAATGCCAGCATTGGAGGTCACTGGTATCCACTGCAGGAAAATGGTGGCTATGGTGCTGGGCTGCTGAGCCTGAGGTAGTAGGCTCAATGAAATGTTGCCCTCACATCTCAACGGGGGTGCAATGAGAGAGTGCTTGGGTATTTGTATTAACTTGCATGCACTGTGGAACTACTCCAGATAGTGAAAATGACAGCCTGCATTGGGGACTAGTTGGTCTATATAGCATTAGTGAGATACAGGACAACCGAAGTACTACTGAGTGTTCAGAGATAAGCTTTGTGGTTTTCTTAAATTTCAGCTCCGAGAAAACCTGACCCCCCCCCCCCCCCCTTGCAGATTACTTATATAACCTGGGGCACCCAAAGTGAGACAATAATGATTGATGTCAGCTGCACAACTAACTCAGATTTATTAATTAACTTTTTAGTAAATGCAGCAAGAAGGCATGTTTCTATTCAAAAGTTGGAGGCAGTCGCGTTTATACACAGTTACACTTGGAAGAATCATTCTAGCAGGGCTGTGCTCCGAGATACACTCAAACTTGAATGTAACAAACCCAGATATAAAGAAGCAAATAAAAAATAGTCTTACAATAGATTTTGTGTTAGGATATACGTTTATAATGAATTTTTGGACATAACGACCTCCTTTTCATGTTATTTGATCTTTATTATAATGAGGGTTGAGTTTAACCCATTACAAAGATTAATTGTGGTTTTCAAGATTGAACATGCAAGGCGATGAGGATCGGTGCAACTGTTTCTCCCGATGTGACAAGCAGTCATTGCTTGCTATCGCACGCCAGTAGTAAAAGGGTAACTGTCATTATCTTTCTTATCATCTGGGCCTTTGACCTGCTGTCAGAACAAAGGGCCAGGTAAGCAAAAATATTGAAAAAAATTCATTTTTTCTTTTTGCATTGTTTGAAATCTACAGCCTTTTCTGAACAAGAATCAGTCATTTCTTTGTCCCAGAGTAATTTTCTTTCCCTCTAAAACGACATATTTCCAAACTTGTGCGGCAGCCTGCCATACCTCTATTCTTACGTAGCAAAGGATTCCTTGCAGTTCACGCATCATAGCCATATGAAGAAGTTACAGTTTGCAAGCTGGAGTGTATGTGGCACATTCATAAAAGAATGGACCCAGAATTGTGAAAACTAAACAAAGCCGACGCCTCATGCCAGGACATTTATATCTGGTCGGGGACGTCTTAAGGATGTTATCATTGGCAAGCATGAAAACTATCGTTTGGCCGTTAAAAAAAAAAGAAATCCAGCTTGAAGGACATGCAAAAAGTTGTTTGGGCAACTTATTTTGACATGGCATGAAAGGATACCAATCTAACCTAGTGCCCTTGCCTAAAAAACACCTAAACTTGGTCGAAATTAAACACAGCCCAGTTGAATGGTAAACCATTTGATCATATAAAACACCTTAAAGCCTCTGTTATCGAGGCTATTAAGCCAACTTATCCATATGAGCTCTTTCAAAATTTCTTCCCTAATGCCTCCATGGGAAACCTTTAAACTCTAACGAGTCGTCGAATTGTTGTATGAGAGAGCCCTCCAAAAGACGTTTTTCTCGGACACCAAACCCTCAAAATATGCACTCTTGATGCTGTGCTAACTTTTAATGATGACAATGTGCTGAACTCCATTGGAATTTCTAGAGGGCACTGCACAGTGCAGGGCCTACGCACGCTATGCACCCTTGAGCTAGCGTTGACAGTACTTTGTTGACAGGGCTGCACAGCAGGCGACAAAGAAGGCTCGCAAGACCTTTCAACACAAAAAAAAAAAAAATTATACTAGCGGTAAGTATCTAGCCGGTGGCTATTGAACAGGCCCATTGATTAGCTGTTATTGCTGTTGTACTTTTGAAACAACGCACATTTTACACATTAAATGCGATTATCTAAATACATGCTTTTTTGTACTTATGTTCCTTTATCTCAGCAATCACCGTATCTAGAATCACAGATTTCGACTAGTATTTAGATAACATAATAGGCAATATGCTGAAGCAGAATTATCGTTGTGTGGGGAAGCGCTCTTCTTCAACATGACATCTAACAGCTGTCGATAATTAGGTACCCGAAAAAAAAAATTACCAAAAATTGGTGTTACAATTTTCAGCGCCAAGTTTGCTTCATCGAAAAGAGGAATGGCTTATATTTACAGTGAAAGTAAAATAATTACTGTAACTCCTATGGTTATAGAGTTAAAGGTACCCATAAACTTCACCTAAATACATGGCGGGTATAGGGCTTACCCAGCCCCTCAAACGAAGTACAGAACTATAACAGCACATTGAGGAGGTGCTTTGTGCCAGTGCTGACTGTCTTATATTAAGAAAACCATAAAACATAATTTTGAACACCTTGTTTGCTTACCAGACAAGTTTATACTGGTCGCTGGTGAACAATGCTTTTGCAAGCCCAATTCTAAAAACACACTGCACTAATGAACTTGCAGCACCATTTTTGAGAATGTACAGAAAGTATATCTGTTGTTTCTGCATGGCGTAAATTTTCATCAATGATTCTTAAAGAGCGCATAAGCTCGAAGGTTCAAGTGCACGTTAGCCCCAGCCCGATGGCTTGAATATCCATCTAGAACCATATTCACTCCATGAGCAGTTATGACTGAGTGATCGATGTCACTTAGTCACTTTGATTGGAAGGAGTTAGTATTTGCTTATGTTTAGTATGCTTTTGTTATGTGCTCCCCAATCACTGTTTACTTTGCAAAATGTGCTTAGTGTCTAGCCACGGTTTTTAAACTGAAACCAAGGTATGGATGTGCCACTATGTGTCAGGTAACCTTTCTTAAGTCAACCAGTATTTGATCTGTAGTTATATTTCTTTAAATAAAAACTGCCAAGCAATATTCCAACATGCTGTATATTTGGACATTTTGCTTAAAAAGCTTTTGCCAAAGTTTTCACTTCTAGTACAAATGTTCTTCTGAGAATCTTTTTCTGCTTTTTCTTTTTTTTAATGAATAAATTATCTTCAAAAGACAAATGGCCTTTGAGGCGTATTAAAATTAAGAGCATTTGAAATAAGTGTACTATGCATTCCCTTTCACATACTGAGTGACATAGTAATCTAAGCAGCTATTGCATAGAAAATTCCTAACTAAAGCACACACACTAAAAAAAAAAAAAGCATTTAACTTTCCCACTGTAAGGAAAGAGCTCCAATATAAAGGCATAAATGCAGAGTGCCCAAGCACGAGCCTTGCAATAAGTTTTCTTTGTGGCTAATGAAACGTTCACATATTGATTCAATGAAAATCTTCGGCCCTTATACTACATGAAGATGTCGATCAATGAAGCTGTGTAATGTATCATTTGAATGTTTATTTGTGTCACAATAATTGCTCCTTAATGCTGAGCTTTGAGAGACTTTCCTCACTCGTTTTGCATCGTTGCCATCAATAAGGAGTGTATTAGTGCTGATATTATTAACAAAAAGAAGACAAATTTTGAAGTAAAAGACATGTCAGTTCATTTAAGTCTTTCACTTTAGTCAATTTTTCGACACATAAGCTTTTGCACACTGATGGCCTTTTCATTTTAAGCGAACCAGTGGTCAGTAGAGAGGCTTGCCCTATTTCTGTGCACGTAGTACCTGCTAGGAGGTTTTCTGCAAACAATCAGGCTGGCTACAGACAGCTTCACTCTAAAAATAATTCTACTCTTGAAGGTGCCAAAACTCAAGCAATATTTAAGCGGGCTTCATGTGAGAATGTCAAGCCTATTTCCTAGCTTATATATCCAGCTTTTTTCTGGTTTCTGTGAGAGCACTAGATATTCTTCAACTTATGAAAGCACCCTCTGCTCCTGGACTGCTGCTTCTGCTTCTGAAGTAGCACTGATAATAATGTCCTCCGCATCAAAAATTTGATCATTGTTCTGTGCAGTACACATCTTGCGTATAGGTGAGCTACTAATGCACAAATGAACACACTCGTTTAATCCTTCCTAGCTTACAGTGAATGCACACAATAAGCGCACGTCTGAATTCTCAACCCCAGCCACATTGGCATAACCTCTCAATTCTGTTCACCACTGAAATTCCAGCTTAGTGAGACGTACCGATTTGTGCAGGTAAGTTCTTCACTACGCTGCTAGACCGAGATACGTGCTTAGGCGACATGTTCACCTCTTTTTCCTGGAAAAAAGAAATTCCGAACAAGTGCACACCACTATTACGTTTCTTCAACAATAGCATCAACGAAATTGAAACATTGGTAGCTATGACAGTATCAACAACATATACAGTCTTTCTTTTCTGCTTGAATATGCATGGGAATGACACCACAAATAGCAGCATGCGGCCAAATAGGCCTTCAAGGCAAGCATTTCAGTGACTGTAAACTGCTGGGGCAATCAATCCACCACCACAACAAATTACTTTTTAAATTTTGTTCTTTTATTATCTTTACGAGAGACTCTGCTTCAGGTGTATATTTAAATTTTTTATTCCACTTTTTATATGCTTCTGCAAAAATTTGAGCACTTCAAATACTTGAATGAATATTACAGGGCAGTATAATTGCGACAACACGATTACGATTGATAAAACTTTGCGATAATACAAATTATAAGGATGTTTCAAACGGACTACATTATATATAATGCGCTGTGATTTGTGTTATATGAATGGTTTCTCCAGCCACCGCGGATGACATTGCCAAAAAGCATTTTGTTGCTTGTCTTGCGTGCGCCGGCCAGCAGTCTTATCTCTTTTGGTGATACAACACATGTCGCAATTCATCTGGCATGATCGAGGTCACGTGCACAAAGCTGTCTCAGGGTAAACAATTATATCGGACCAGTTAGTATGAATTCATTTTAGTAGGAAGCGCACAACTTTAACACAGGAACACAAGACAAGCGCTTAACTTCAACTAAACAGTTATTGCAAATGTCAGAGTATATAAAGGGGTGAAAGAAGAGAAAGAGTAGTAATAAAATGCAGAATGACAAAAAGCGCACGTGCAGTGCTGTACATTACTCATCTATTATTATTAATCACACCAACCTAAAAAACAAAGTTCCTTATGCATGACCTAGACAGAAGGTGCACTAAGACACTCAAAGTCACCATGCGTTATTTCTGCTGATTCAACAATCAAACAGGTTCATAAATCTCTGTCACGATACAACACGCAAGTGTTGTTGAAATATGGCACACAATCACACTCCTTACAGTGGATCACCAAGTGACCACCTGTCACTTTTTGCACTTTATTATGGTGTTCTTTGAACCTCTCATTAATGCACCTTTCAGTATGCCCAAGATAAGCGAGGCCGCAGGACAAGGGGAATCTATAAACAACAGAAAGTGCACACTCAACATATTTATTGTGATGATTAATTTGGCAACCATTCTTTTCTTTCAAAACAGGAGAGGTTTCGCAACATATTTTTGAGAGTTTCTCTGAACAGACATGACCACTTGTACACCAACCTTATTTCCAATTTTTTTTAAAATTGTGTGCCACACCATGGATATAGGGGACAACAGTTGTGTTCCGCTGCTGCAGGGAAGTGTCATTACGCTGCCTATTTTGTTTCTTTAGGTCCCTATAGGAGTGATTTGGCGACGGCTATAACCAAACATCACGGGTAACCTGCTGCCTGCAGTCGCAAAACCTGTTGCTCGAAGCTCTTCTGCATGAAGTGAAAACACAATTTCTTTATGGAATTAAAAGGCACATACGTGCAACAGACATCTTGACTACTTTAGTATGTGCGAAAGAGTAAGGCAACAATGGCATTTTGCTCCTGGGCTCATAAAGCCACCAAACGTGATCATCATGAAATTTTAACGAATGATCAAGGAACCTGGGCGTGTTCCCACGTGGCATTTTGGTGTGAAAGTTTAGGGACTAACAAACTGTCTCAAATACTTTAGGTGTCAACTAAAAAAAACTTTGAAATTCTTTGGCATCAGATTTCAAAACTATCAAACAATAGTCAACAAACCTGAACATTTGTAAAACCTTAGTTCCCAAGAACTTCTGAGCAATTCTTCGATCCATGTGGGCCATAAAAATATCACTAAGTACGGGTGCAATAGCCAAACCAATACAAATAACCTGTTTTTGGATGTAAGTGTTCCAATGAACAAATATGGACGTTCAGTATAAAGCCAATAAATATAAATAAACCCTGCACTGACATACCTGAAAGGCCACTGCATCATGTTCAAGTATAGACTGTTCCACAAACTCTAGAAACGTATTGTTACATAAAGAATAGTACAAATTTTTCACGTCGAATTTTTCACGTTTTTGCAAAATAATCACCCGGAACGGCATGCCATCCTTGTGCGTCTTGCAACTGAAGAACATATCTGGGCCGAGTTTATCAGTTTTCATCATCTGTAAGTTTTTTGCAACCGTTCGAACAGATATGAGTGAACAACTTTGAATCTGGTACAAATGCCGCTGTTGATTCATGTTGGCTATACGCAAATAGAATGTTGTTTGACAGCAAACAGCAGGCAGCCCCAGCTCCCTGCACATTGAAAAGAGTGAGCAAAGGCCTTTGTATGACAAGAGGGCACCTCATGAAATGGCAACTTAGCACTCTCATTCTAGACTAGCAGTGTATGAATTATGCCGGATGTGTTTTCTCACCAAGCTCGAGAATGTGGTTCATGATCCTTTTCGATACCGGATATTTCAAACTCGGATATATCAAACTTTTAGCTATATCGAACAGTTGAAAAATCTCTTTGAATTTCCCATGCAAAGGTGTGAGACCGGCGCACCCTTATATTGAACTCCCACAGAGTGAGACATCCGCTATATGGAATGCTGCCGAAACCCAGAAAGTGCATTTTTCCTAGCAAATATTGATCAATTTAAGGCCATGTTATAACAAGTTCCAATACTTTTTTTTGCACAGGCGACAAAAAAAAACTGTGTTATTCCATTGCGCTGATCAAGTTCGTTGCACGGCACTTGCGACTACATCTGTATGTTTGATGCACGGCCTACAGGTCTTAGTGCGCGGGCATAGTGTTTTCCAAAAGACTGATTGCAGAGGGCACCGAAATGAGAATGTGAAGTGACTTGGTGATTTCATTGCAATGTTCAAATTCCCTTCTTTGTTTGTTAGAGCACAATGGCAAGCCAGCCTGAAAAGCATGGCCTTCGAGATGTGCAACCTTGTGGCGTATTTTTAGTGTTTTCGGTTTTAAAACACGTTTATCAAAGGCTATGCTTGTTTTTATCTTTTTGCATCAAAGCCGCTGAAAGCAGCGGCTGCCAAATCGATATTGCCAACATGTCAATGGCGGGAACTCAGACGAACTCGGCATTGTGTCTTTTAGGCCTTGTGCACTTCTCGCCTCATTCCTAATAAATCCTCATTCGGGAGTGGAACTGAGCGTTGACCCTCACGTAGTGATAAGAATGATGACTGGCGCTTAGAGGGATGTCAAGTAAAGCACTGTCGTAAATATTCCTAGCAGGCCAGGTGACGACTTCGGGTGCATCATGACCGCTGACAACGACATCCAGTACCTCAATGAATTCTGTGACTTATCAGCGTTTCCGGGCACCATCTCCGACGGTGAGCTACTACATCGGTACAGATGACGACGTAGCTGTTTCTGACTGCATCAAAGCTGAAATTTTGGCTGCGGTTTCCGGTGCCGCAGAAGTGTAGCTGTGCGGTTATGAATGTGTTAATGCCTTCGCTGCTGCTGCTAACCACCTTTTTGCTGTGCTACAAAGCTTTCATCAATATTCTGTGTCAATCAATGTTGCGGCGGAAGAAGGCTTATTTGAAAAGCTTCAATGATATTGAGGATAACTGGAACTTGATGACGTGCAAAAAAAAAACAAGACAAGTTTACAGACAATTTTCTTGCGAAATTAAGTGCGGCAACTTGCAGTTCGCACCTTGTTTTTCATTAACAGGGGTGAGACAGCTGAAACTGAATTGGGAGCAGTTTTCGGAGCAACGAAATTTCAATTTTGGAGCAGACAAACCTCGCTTTGGAGCAGTCAGTGGCAATTATTATGTCGTCCTGGGAGCTTAAAAAAGCAAATTTTTAGCAACCTGGGGGCACAAGTGCATATTTTAATTTACATTCACAACACATTATACTGAAACAGACTTTGAACAAAGTTTTTGAGCAGATCATCACCTGGTACGAACTGCAATACCTTTTTACATAACATGCGACCTGTCCAGCCTCTGTAACAAATGTGAAATAATATTTAAAGAAAGTTCTGAGAACTAGGTCCCCTGGAAACATTTGAAAAGAGAAACGCATCCCACTCATAAAAAATTTTAAAAAATGTGATTGCACAAGAATCATAGTTCCATAACAGTGGGCCTTCGCTTATGAAAAGTGACATGCTATCGTCAAGTGTACTGCAAGCCTTTAACCAACAACAAAAGTGCGTTGCACTACTGTTTGCGGCCACCTCATGAGGAACCCCTTTTGAGAGTGCGGCGCGGAAGCCGAGAAAATTCACCTGACCAACTATTTCCTTAAGCGCATGCCTAAGGCACTAAATGATAAGCGGATGATACTAGGTTATAATGCCTCTCGATGCACGCAACCACACGTTATTTGTACTACCCACGTTAACCTGTTTTATTTTCTTTAATATCCATGGCCACCGACTTGCTATTCCCACCCATACCATGCCGCGTTCCCCGCAAATGAACCGCCGATGAACAGAGGCCCGACTTGTAGAGAAAAAAAAGAAATAAGTATGCCAGTCACACTGCAGAACGGCCACTGACTGAAACACCAGTCGAACGTAAAGCTAAGCCTAAAGCTCGTGTAGCGCAGAGCTGGCACGCAGCGATGGCTTTTAAAGCACTCATTGAGAGTTTTCAATTATAAAAAGAAGCAGTATTGCAATTCACCGTTTATGAAAACTGCGCCACGTGATCGCTAACACGTCATGAGTCACGAAGAAAGCACCGCGGTGCCCGTTTAAACTGATTTGAACATCACGAATTCTGTGCACCACGGATTCACAAATCATGCAAGCGTAACGAGCGTGTGGCACCCTGCATAGCCTACTTTAGTACCTCGCCAAGTTCGGCAGGCAACCTTGGTCGTGCTTGGGAAAATAAACACTGAAGAGCGCTGCTCGGCAATCAGTAGCTGTTACTTCACCAGGCATGTGATG